CCCCCCCCCCCGCCCTTCTAAACAAAAATTGACAGGTACAGTACATGGAGTAAGGACAATGATCTGTGGAGGCTGTTGGGTCATCCCAACTTCCCAAACTGGGATGCATTTTTAAAGGAAGATGCTAACTGGAAATTATTCTGTGGATGGCATTCCATGAGCCCAGACTAGTCCTCTGGCTACTCTGGGTTAGTCTGCTGAAATGGATAGGAGTGGTGGATTAGGAGAGGTTAGATGGTTACTAGAGAACTAGTAGAGCAGTGTCTGCTTGTCTGAAATCAAGCAAAAGTTAGGGCAGGGTGGCTTCTCTGACTCTGATTTGGAGAGGCAAGCTTGTTGCATGTGATGGCCTAATTCAGATGCTGAGAATGGACTTGCATAAAGACAGCATGTAAAGATGAATTCAAGTACAAAGGAAAAGGATAGGAGGTGGAGATGGGCACTGCTCTGTGTTAAACCTGTTCTACCTGCAAGTCCATTCGTGGCATCTGATGGAAGTAGGTGGAAAGCTCATGACTCTCCTCAGAAAGGTGTCAGCCTGTACTGCCTTCATCTCTGCAGAGCTAGTAGTTCTTTGTAGGAGTTGAGGTGTTGACACATTTTTAAGTGTATTGTAATAATTAACCCCAATTTATTGGGTAGGCCATATGTGGTAAAAGTACATGGTGCTTGAGCCAAATTTGATTTAGAAAGTGTTGATTCATCTTGTGATGGGGGATGAATTCAGCTACCCAATAGTAAAAGATCCAGCTTTTTCTTAACTGTCCTGTCTTGATCCTTGATCAGGCATAAAACAAGACTGAAACATGCCATCACTCCTGTTTTTAAGCTGTTCTGGGAGGTTGAGCAGCATGCTAAAGCCAAAACTTTGATTAAATAAACTTCTGGTGACTGTCAGTTTAATTTGTGAGCAGTCCAAAGGATAACTTTTGTGAGCTGAATACTGCAGGGGCGCTACCATTCTTCAGCAGTTTGTGAATTAACTCATAATAATCTTAATGTCACTTAACATATTGCAGGCTTAACTGTGTTTTTAAATCTACTTTCTAGCTTGCTGCTTTTTTAATACTAATATTTGGGGAAAGAATTCAGTGCAGAATAAATGGAAGGGAATCTTTGAAAGAATAATCCAGGTTCAGAAGAGTCCCAAACTATGTAAAGAAAAGCAGGATAGATGAAGGTGCTGGTAAAACTAACTCTTGGGTGTGAAAAACTGCATTTGAGCAGATTCCAAAATTCGTGCTGAAAAATGCATATCATGTGCTACTGCATCAGCAGGACTTAAATGTTTAGCTAGCAGTGCTTCTCTTCATCAGCACTTCATGCTGTCGCATGATTTCCTGTTTCAACCATGAGATGTCTCATGCTCTCAAACACCCATAACACAACTAAATTTGCAGTGTTGCAGTTTGAGAAGGATGGAACTGTATTGGCTTAATCCTTTGAATTACTTTAGCATTGTGTCCATGTTTTATTAGGCTCTGGGCAAATAATTTTTTTTTTCTTTCTTCCTTCTAGAACTTTAAATAGCATCACTCTGACTGGAAAATGTCTGGCCTTGAAACCCTCTTCAGGTACATTGATGAGCACCAGGATCTCTATGTTCGGGTAAGTAGTTTTAATACTTTGTGGAGAACTTTATCCTAAAGGGAAATCTATTTGTTGGACTGACACTTATGTTCTTGCAGTTTGCAACTAAGAATTGCTGCTTACTGAGTCCATCTTGGCCAGGAAACTGTGCCACTGCCAGCAAGTGGATACTGAAAGGGAGAATAAGCAGGATGTGCCTAGGGCTTTTCTTTTTCTCCAGGGTCCCTCTCACTTGCAGCTGCCATCATTTAAGGCCTAGGAAGCTCTAATTCAGAGGCTGTACCTCTGCTCAATAGCTGCCGATTCATTTTTCCTCCAAGAATCTGTCCAGTCCCTTCTTGAATTTGGCTGAACTATCAGTTTACACAGCATCTTGTGGCAATGAATACCATGCTTTACACAGTGTGGAAAAGTAATTCCTTTTGTTAGTTTTAAACTTACTACCTACTAGGTTCATCTTGTGACCCCCTGGGTTTCTCTTCCTCATTTACTACTTAAAATAAATAGTCCTGGCCTCTCTATTCTCTCCTCGTATAGAAGCCCCTTCATACGAGTCCCAATCATTCTTATTTCCCTTCCCTGTACCTTCTCCAGCTCTCTTTCTATATACTTGTTGAGCTTTGGGTACAGTAGTTGAGTGCAGATTCACCATGGATTTACAAAGGGACATAATGATACTTTTTATTTGCAATTCCTTTCTTAATGATTCTTAACGTTTGCCTTCATGATAATTGCTGAGCACTGAGCTAATGGTATTTTTGGCAAACTGTCTACAATGACTCCCAGATCTTTCCTGTGTGGTAACAGCTAACACAGAGCCCATCATAGTATAGGTGTAGTTTGAGTTACTTTTGCCCCTGTGGATCACTTCCCACTTATCTACACTGAATTTAGTTTGCCCTTTAGTTACCCATTCTTTCACTAGTGCCAGATCCTTCTGTAATTCCTCACTCTGCCTTGGTCTTTGGCACTGAATTATTTAAAAAGGTAAATTTGGCTACCTTAGTACTTGCCCCTTGTTCAATATCACTTATGAATGCTAAACACTACTGGTCCCAACACCAGTCCCTGTGGAACCCTGCTGCTTACTCCTTTCCATCCTGAAAACTGGCTGTTCATACTCATTTTCTGTCCTTAAGCCAATTGCTCATCCATGAGTGGACCTTCCTGGTAATCCCCTGTCTACTTCCTTTCATTAAGAGTTCATAAGGTGGTGCTGCCAACCACACCTGTATAAGTTCGTAATGATTACTATGTTGATTCCTGGTTTTCCTGCTTTCTCAGGAGCTTGAGTAACTTGTGGTTGAGAGACTGCAGTTGGCAATCCTAAGTGTAATTGGGTGTTGCCTCGCTATAATACCAAATATTCCAGAGAATAAGTGAGTAAATATTGGGTTTTAATCCATAGTCTTTTAGAATACTTCTGGTTTGAGAAGCAACCTTCCCGGTAGACTAATGAGGCAAGAGATGAGGAGTGATAAGTGGGGAGGTATAGTTGCAGTGATGTAACTAAGGCCTAGAGGGAATTTGTGTCGGAGTCAGGGCTAGACTTCAGCAGCTTCTGGATTGTAGACTGCTGACTGTGTGTCTCCCCACATGGAGAGAAATCAAAGCACTTGTGCAACATCAACTCTTCCTTGGGAGGTTTGACCTTTTGTTACAAACTATCTGGCCATAAAGTTTAAAATGTGCATTCTGCTGATCCCTACAACTTGATGTGCTTTCTATGTTAGTAGGGTTTATTGGAAGTCTTGAGGGACTGGACTGCCAAAAAAATATTCAAACTTCAATGCTCTTTGTATGGTGCTCATTACTTGTTAAGAGCACATGGGGCCAAAGATGATATTCTTTAGAGTCCTAATGGGAAGGGCTCTCAAGCTGATATCTTTTTGGAGAAAATATTGCATGAAACAGTTGGTGCCAGGAACCAAAACAAAGCCAAGTTGCTTGGGCAAACTATATGGCATGTTCAAGCTTTTAATGCTGAGCAGATGGACCATTCTTTTGCTACACTGTATAAATGGGGCACCTATAAAGGAGAATCTTTCTAGAGAAATCTTACCATATTTATGTGAATCCAGGACTACTTTGAATTTAAGATAATCCTCCTGCCTGCCAAGAAATAAATGCTATGCATAGAAAAAATTGTATGAGTTTGTTATAGCTTTCTATGTGTAGAATCTAGTTATTGAAGGTTTGTAGTCTTAAATTCATTTCCCCCCTCCTCCTCCACCTTGCACCCCTGCAATAAGGGAGGCAAGGAGGGGTAGGGGCAGGTGGCTTGCCCCTTGCCCCCTTCCTGTCTGTCTTTTCCACCCCCCCATGTCACTGCATGCCTCCAGACTACTGTATACCTTGCTGTGTGGATTCATGCAGCCTTTTCTGACTGCAAGTGCTGCTTTTGTCATATGACTCTAAAACCAGGCTCCCCGCAGCTATATTGAGGGGAAAAGTACTCCTCTTAGAATTGAGTAAATACTAAACATGGTAATTATAGTAGCTATACTAAATAACTCTCCCCCCACTTTTATTCTTTTTTGCTTCAAACAGAACCCAAGCCACAGACTTGTAATCAAATCTTACAGTTGAGACCTAATACCTGACTCTTGTACCTCAAGTCATATTCCTAAAATACCTTTCACTGGATGGTACGGAATAATACTATTATTCGGGTAAAGTCTTAACCTTTCGTTATCACCAAACAGCGTCTGGCCGAGTGGGTGGCAATCCAGAGCGTGTCAGCATGGCCGGAGAAGAGGGGTGAAATCAGACGAATGATGGAAACTGCTGCCAAGGATATTGAGCGGTTGGGTGGCACCACTGAACTGATGGATATTGGGACCCAAAGGGTATGAAGTTCTGCAACATCATGCTACTATGTAAACTAGAAAATGATTCTGTCAGTGTAGACTCTTAAATTTGTGTGGCTTGGTTGGAGCCCTAGGAAAAAGAAGTTGCAACTTATCAATGCTTTCCTGCTAGGAACTAATCCTTTGGGTTTCAGAAGTGGCACCTAAATGTTGGACTCTGCAGTCTCTGCATGACTGCTTTAAGTGCTCCAGGAGTAGGGACTTCATTTTGAAGCCTTATAGAAATGAGCATGAAAGGATCTGAGAAGGGTCCTGATGCAAAATTGGTGTAATGAGAAGCTTGACTAGAAGCAAATGCTCAAGGATGGTTTTCTGTATACCTTGACACTAAACATCAGTTAACAGAAAAATACTTTATTTGTAAAGCAGAAGGTTGTCATTTGGTAAAAAGGTAAATATATAATAGGCACTTGCACAGCCCAAATGTCCTATAACTGAAATAGGCTTAGGTTTCTAGCATTGCATGGATCCCAGCAGCAGTCTTGGTTATGCCTGGTCTCTTATCAAGGACTCTTCTCCTAGATAATCTAAACAATGATCCTTGCCCTATCTTTATCTAGAGATTAATTCAGGGCTTTAATCTTCTAGGGATATGTTAAACCTTGTACTCTATAGTAAGTTGATTGGATCAAAAGCTAAGTAATGCTGAGTAAGAGTGAGGGACTATCCAAATAGAAATCTTTTTAACTATACTTCTTTTGGTGCATCTCCATAGTGAGTTGGGATCTCCCCAGTGAGTCTGGTGCTGTATAAAGTTCCAAAACAGCTGAATAGCTTCCAAGGTCTAGTGTGGATTCCTGATCAAATTTTAAGGATGTTGGTATCTGCAATGAACACTGAAGTGATGTAAGGCAACTAACTAATCTGTTCCCTGAAGGACATCAAATGATCTCTCCATCTAACAAACTGAACTCTGGCTTGCTATATTCTATACTCACTGCCAAAGTCCAGGTACAAAGGCTTTTAAGTGGCAGTCTTTAGATAAGACCAGCTCTTTAATGTGGCGTAGTAGCTGTCGGTTGCATGACTCTAACACTGAATTTCAGCACTGACTTGCCATATTTTGAAGGTGTCATGAACACTTTATTCTAGTTGTAACAATCCTAGCTGGAGCTGTGGCCCTGTGGTTGTTCTGTAACAGACTTTAGATTCCCTGGGGGTTGGAAGAGGAGCCATGGGGGGAATTACTTGGAGGGTGATCCCAGGAACTCTGTTTTGAAAATGATACAACACTTTGAGAACAAAAGGCACCTTTATGGCTGCAATTAGAAGTACAGTGCACCTAAATCAAGATGCAAGTTGCTATAGTTGAAATGGAGTCCTCTTAGTGCTTGGTGCATGTAACAGTCTTGGAGCCATAGTGTCTTATACCCAAATTGTAGCAATATTTGGGCTGTAAAGCTTGGAGGATAGCACCAATCAACTTTTACTTAAAGCATTTTGTTCTTTTTCTCGTTTAACTTTTATCTGCAAAAGCTAAAGTGTAGGACTAGAATTATCCCATGAGATTTGCTTTCAGAGCATTGAACTTTCTTGCAGCTGAATGGCCATCTTATGGCTTATCCCTGAAACCTGCCTACTTTTCATTTCTAGCTGCCTGATGGTTCAGAGATTCCTCTGCCTCCAATTATTCTCGGCAAACTAGGCTCCGATCCAAAAAAGAAAACTGTCTGTGTCTATGGGCACCTGGATGTACAACCTGCTGCCCTAGAGGATGGATGGGACAGTGAGCCCTTCACTTTGGAAGAAAGACATGGTAGGAGTGATAGGCTTTAAAACAAGTCTAACCCTTGGCCCCAAGGTTTTATAACTTGGATGACCTCTTAAACTGTACTACGTGGAGGAGGTGGGAAAGTGTTCGTAATGAATGGAAGAGCTTAGCATTTGTCCTTTGGGGAGCTGAGCTTTTTAAAGTAAGGGGGAAGAGAAAGTAGTTGTCTTTAGACTAAACTTTTTTTTTCTCCATCTGTCAGCCAAGCTGTGCTCTTGCACTCTTCCTCATAGCTACAGTGATATGAGTATGTTAGAATTGGATATTGGTTTTCATGGCAACTGTGCCCATCAAGTGTGCTGGAACTGAATATTCTGTCATGATTAAAGCTTGTAGTTGTGGCATGATTAAACTGGGGGGGGGGGGGGCTGGGCTAGTCCTATGGCTTATAGCTCAGATCACTGGTCACTGGAGTGCCTGGTGGCTTTAGCTAGGCCAAGCCACTGCACAGGGAATTGCTGAAGGATATGGGAGACATCTTGCATTTGGAGTAATTCCCTCTAAGTAGTTTCCCACAAAAGGGGGCTCAACATGGAGAAGAAGGGAGTAGGGGAACCCTGCCCTAGGTGAGCTCATACAACAGCTCCTGTTACCATAGCATAAATGGCTAATAATAGAGAATACTGAAAAGACCCCCTTCTTGAAAGCCTATCCCATAGACAGCCTCACTTCCTTGCTTCAGCAGTCAACAGGCAAAGCTGGTGATCTTGAAAGTCAAAGGTTGGATGACTAAGATCTCCTGTAAGGGCAGATGCATAGCTTTGATGTTTACACCACAGAAATCAGCTGCTAGCAAACAGACTTATCAGTGACCCATCAGCTTCTAGTGTTGGAGTAACTTTTTTTTTTTTATGAATGTGATAAAGATTAACTAAGTTCTTGTAAGAAAAGCCAGACCTTGTCCTTGTGCTACTTGAGCCACACACAAGGTGACAAAGCTGCTGCTCTAGGAGTTGGTGGTACTTCCAGTCTGGTTCAGCCATATGTTTGCTGCTGCTGCAGTGTTTGTGTGAGCAGTGCGAATGTGTATGGGGCACAGCCAAAGCTCTGCTGCATTCCAGTGAATCTCAGCTGATGTCTGGCCTAGAGGGGGGTGTTTGGGTGTCAAGCAACTTTGGGTGCCTATAAACAAGCAGGGAGGCTGCTGAGCAGGCAATTGGGTGCAATTGCCATGCTCCATCAGCCTGCTGTGTCTTGTGTATTGGTGGCATCCATGTGCTTCATAATGGTGGTGGGGTGCTTTATGTAAAGCTTGTTGAACCCCCATTTTGAAGTGTGGGGATGCTGATGCATGAGAGAACTCCAGGCACTCTTTAAATTGGAGCTGCTCTAATTTAAAGTGCCTTCCTCTGGGGGGGCCCCCCCACTCCCACAGCACATGTATAAATGCCCTTTGACACCATCTTACTAGCTCATGTACCCAGTCTATTCAATCTCTCAAGTGTGGTAGGCAAGAAACATTCACTTCTCCTTGAATCTTGGAGTGGGTGCAGAATACTCAGAGGTGCCCATCTGTTAACGTTATTTGGATTGAGGAAGAAAAGTTGGCTATTTTAAAGGTTTGATTTGTTAAAGTTTTTTTCTATAGATTAATTACTGGCAACTAGTGTAGAAGCATAACCTCTAATGGCCTATAGAATTGGGGGGCTGAACTTTTGGGCGGGGCTTGTCTTGTGGCATGTCTGTTGCCTTCCCAAAGTGCCAACCTGATCCCTTTCCCCTGCCCCATCTGCTCTCTGATCTGTCTTGCTTGCATCTGCTGCCATACTGCCTGTTGCTTCCTTGTCTATCATGTACCACCCAAGTTGCTCATGCCATTTGTGGCATGCAGGCAGAGGTCCAGGTGGCTGGGGGAGCAGGCAGGGATAGTGGTGGGGGGGGACTGGCAGTGGTTCCCCCATGGTCCCCCCCCCCACCCCTAGTACTTACCAGCACAGAGTCCAGCTGCAGCCACCGGGGACTACCTGAATCATCAAAACTCTCCGAATCTTTTTTTCTGATTTTGGAGAGCTTTGAATTGTTTCGGACCTTTCAATTGGTCCCCTGATTGGATTTAGGATTCAGATTCAACTGCCAAATCTCCTCTGAATTGCATCACACTTTGCACAGCCCTAATATTCAGCCTTTTATGATGGGG